GTGCATGTTTACAATTTACTGTCGCAGCAAAATGCACAAATAAGGGAATAAGCGGTCATATAAATCGAATAGATATATTGGTCCTTTTGTGATTTAAATGCACACTATAAATATCACGGACACGCACAATTTGTATTTATTATTAATAAAATATATATTTTAATATTTAATCACAGACTTTCTTCAGCAGTTTTACGGTGACTTTGTTAATGTACTAATCAAGCAATCTTTTTAAATTTGATTCATATAACTCTATGCTTGGTAAAAAACAAAACAATTTTTCTATCTCATTTATTACGTGCGAATACATTTTATGTATTTTAAAAATAATTACATGAAATAAGGAAATACAATCTATCAATCTAAATACGGATATCGGACGGGAATACGGACTTTATTGTGCTTTCTTCGAATTTCATCGCTTTACTTTTTTGGCAAAGATTAAATTAAGTTTGAACAGACGCAAAAGTTGGTACAAAATTTTTTTTAAAATGCCAAACACTACCGGACATCCAGATTTATTACCTAGTTTAATTCTGTTGCTGCTTTTAAATAAAATGGACCAAATATGATGTCAATTATTTTTTACTAAGTGCATGAAGATGGATGTCGGAAATATAATATAAATTTAATTATAAAAATTATGAATATATAAATTATATGTATAATTTGTCGATTCTGTTATTTAATCTTTGTGCTTACGCCGACGTGTCGGATCGGTCCATATATCAATCAGGCGATCTGCCGACATTTTACAACACACGTATTCAAGCTTCTATTTCTGACGAAGTAAATCCGTGTACGTATTTGGGCACTGTTACTGTTGACGTTGCTTAGCTCCCGCTCCCAATGTTTGTATGTTGTTGTATGAGTTAGCAGTGTACGGGATTCTATAGACTATTGCTTGTTTTGTTGTTGATTGAGCATTTCGATATTTGAATTGTGATTGCTGGAAGTCTGTTTCAATGTTTATGAATATTTTCGATAAAAAATTTTATCTTAAATAAATAACGACGTAACTAGAACCAAGAGGGGTAGGCCTTGGACCTCTCACCTCTCTCGCTTCTTCTACATTTGTATAATACGTGAACATCCAAGTCGATTAACAATTTTATTTTTAAATTAAGTGACATGATATTAAATCTTTGAATGAGGTTATACAAGTGTCATAAAATAATTTTGACTTTGTGACTATTGGGAACGTTTTCGTATTGTGGGGATCATTGGCGTTCGCTTATCCTTTCCTAATTTACACTTTTTTAACCAGAGCATAACAAATTTTTTTAATTAGTGACGTTCCTAAAACGTTCCTCGTGCCGTTGGTTTGCCATCCCTGACAATATGTATGTACTGTTTTATTTAAATATAGAAAGCCTGCAACGTAAAATAAAACTTCGGAATTATATTACATCAAAGAAATGTCATCCAAATTACTTATGATGTCACAGGATGGTCTACATTCAAAGTACCAGTTACCAATGTAAACCGCCACACACGTACATAATATTTCTGTGAATGAAACATGTTCCCGCGTGTTGCTAAAGCCAATGTAAACAAGGAAGCGAACACACAAACAAAATGAAGCGTACAACTTCATATAGTCTTTGATCAAACTTGATAACCAGTTTGAAATAACAACAGAAAACAGACAGTAAAGAAGTGTTAAAGATTTGAAATCAACATAATATTGCGAGTTTTATTAAAACAAAACTGATATGAAATGAGCATCCGTTTTGCTTAATCGTTTATAATAATACTAGCTGTCACCCGCGACTCCGTCTGCGCGGATTTATTATCATACTTAGTAAGTAGACTATGTGTTCTTCCAGACTATATTATACATCCAGGCCGAATTTCAACGAGATCCATGTAGCCGTTCCGGAGACATCTTCAAACAAACATCCATCCATCTATCTAAAGATTCGCATTTATAATATTAGTGCCAACATCCTAATGGTTTAAGGCGTGGACTACATACTTGTGGTAGTGGGTTCGTATCGTTATCAATCGAATTTTGTCTCACTTTTTAACTTTTCCCTACTTATGAATGTTAAAGTAAATATAACTTCATAAATTTCAGAAAGCTTTGAATTCTAAATACTAAAATCCTTTCTATCGTTAGCTGGGTGGGCTACATATATCCAATAAGCTTTTGGGTCTATTTTACCGCCCTGTAGAGTGAAGGAATTATTCTGATAGTGCATTTAAATGGTTAGGACCTATAGATATGTACAGGGTGTCATATAACTATAATATCAATTTGCTGTATAAAGATCCAAATATATTATATTATATTATATTATATGTTATGTATTATGTTAGCATTAAGAGTTAATAAATAAATAAATATTATTTTTATAATTAAAGAATCCGTTGACGAATTTTTGACATGTAATAACTTAATTGTTTTCCAAGTAAAGGTTGTTATGTCTCGACATACAACACCATGCTTATCGCCAAAGTAACCGGCCTTGTGTTCCGTACGTTATAAATTACAATGAAATTCGCTCCAGCGCGAATCCAAAATTAGGACTTATCTTGCCTCTTAATTGACTTTCAGGAGATTGCGACTTATAAGTAAAGCAAAGGACAAGTTTGGAGTTTTAGATATGAAGCTTTTGGAAAGAAAGAATTAAAAATAACCCAATGTTTTAGAATGTTTGAAATCAGAACATGGCGGCGTCATACCAGTAAAAAATATACTAGACAATGACTTACATCTGTGCGTAGAAATATTTGTCATAGTTTGGAAGGTTTCTACTTAAATGCAAAGATTAGTTGCTATAAAACAACCAGCAATAGTTCCATGTTGTTTATTGAGCAGTGTGGTTTAACATCACTCCACTAATGTGTCTGTTGCGTAAAACGTTTCAAATATTTAAAACCATTAATTGCGGACAGTCCAAACTTTAGGGCAAAATATCCGAACGGGCCCATAAACTATCCAATTTATTGTACATCATTTGACACATGTCAAAATTAGATTCGGTTATCTGTAGCACATGCTATGCTTTATTTTAATTTGAACTCTATTCGTACGTGATAAGATTTAATGTTACAACGATGGTTTGATAAAATCATAGGTGGGCAGGCACTGCAAAGATACTACTAATCCAATGTAAATTATTACCAGTAAAATGTAGTATTTGGTTGTTAAGTAGACAAAGCTTTGCTTGGCATAAGAACTCGTTGGAGTTAGACTCGTAAAGAATGTTCTAATATTTATTTGAAATGTAAGAAACCAATTTATACTCGTTACAAATATTAGCAAAATAGCAATATTAGTATTCAAATATCTTGGCGGCTCTTAACATCGCGCCAGTCTCTACTATTTTTTTTTAATTCGGTGAGGATAGAGGCGCGCGTAAAAACTAGTGTTATATAAAGTAAAAACTTTACGTCACAATTTAAAAACAACTACACACAAACACAAATAAATATTACCTCTTGATATATTTATTTGTAATATATTCTGAAGAGTTATAGCCCTACCTATTGTATAACAAATAATGAACATTTAAAGTCATTGTCTAGACAACTAAAATCCAAGGAGTCGGCAAGTAAATTAGTACGGAAGACGTAGCTTCGTAAGTCCTTAAATCTGTCTTCTTAACACTCGATTAGCATAGAGAGGGAGCGAATATCGATATCGCGATGCGGAATCGATACGTGCCGATAGTAAATCGATTCTTTGCGATAGTAAGCGAGCAGTTGCCTTCCCGAACACGTCCCTCGCCCATTTACTGAATGCACTTAATTCTCTCCATCCCGTTGTAAACACGAAACGGTTCGGAATGACAAATGGAAAAAGGAAAGGGTCCGTTTAAAACGGCATTAAAATCGCAATTTGTATGAACGGGCCGCCTCGATATGAGCCAATATTGTGTCCGGCTGAGGACGAAGTCGCAGCGCGTATGCGAAACAACGTTACACGTGAGTATTGCAAGGCAACATGTTAAAGGAAAACAACCTTTATGGTGTGACCAATAAGAATTACAATTCATTTTTTTGAGTGATATATTTAAGTATTGAAGACCTAAGGTGGCGCCATGGTCCAGTAAGACATTGCGTGACACGGACAGGCATTCTTTGACACTATGGTTTGACACGCGATAATGGGCTTTATGACCTACGTGATTGGGGGTACAATGACGCGCGTGTTAACTCTTCTGATAGTCAATTCGTATAGGCTATAAATTGTTCGTAAATATTTCTAATAACGTTATTAGATGTTGCATTAGAATTTGAATGCAGCGCGTTTACTCATGAGTAATCAAAAGTTGGCATGTTGCGAGAATTTGCTATGAGGTAACATTGCTGATAATTTACTTAGACTTGGGTGGGCACCGAAAAACACTAGTTAGTAAAAGAAAAACAAGATTTATGACTACTATAAATATTGTGACACGAGGAATACGAATCAAACATCTTATTATACCTCTGAATCAGAGAAATCACAATGAAACGAAAATTCTCTAATACATTGTTTCCTTTTGGAACCAAATAAGAGGTCATGCTTAGCATCTGTTTACCCCATTTATGTTTAATGAGGGTTGCACGTAACGTTTTCAAGTATAAAAATCGATTACTACATTTCTAGTACATGGCGCGCCGTCGCCAGCCGCTAGTCTAGACATCGTGGTTTATATGTGAGTTCGCGATCTGAATTGTTAGCGAATCTTTGGGTTTTGCAATAACACGTATTGTAAGGAAGAACGTACTCAAATATATCTAGCTTTTAGACTATCTTTCTTCTCTATTATAATAATTAGATGTCTACTTAGATATGATTCTTATTTTACTAATGTTATAAATGCGAAAGTTTATAATAGATGGATGGACGGATGGATTGTTTGATGAAATTTGTCACACATGTAGAACATAATCTGGAAGAACACATAGGCTATTTATAATGTTTTTTAATTCCGCGCGGACGGAGTCACGAGCTACAGCTAGTTGTTAATATTTTCTTAATAAACATTAATGAAACTTGTTTTTTTTTCAGATAACAGTGAGCTGATATGAAGGAGAGGATACCATGTGAGTAAATAATAAAGGAAAGAAAATGTTAGAGAAATTAGGTTAATTTTACGTGTTATTTGAATGTGAAAATTTATTTGATATTCTTTTAACAAAATCCAGGTAAATATGTAGTACTATTTATCTTTTATAAATATCGTCATAAATATGATAACTTTCTCTAAAAGTAAAACATATTCTTTCAACAAATAATAACTGTCTAAAATAGAGATCAAAAGAAACATATGAAAATCATTGTAGAACTTTGTTGAGGAATCTACATTTCTCTGTGAACATGGCTCATTAAATATTATTAATATTTCATCATTTATTTATATTATATTTTACAAATTATATTAAATATACCGTGACAGCGTGACATGAGAGATTACTAAGATTTTTTTTTTAATAAAATGACAAGATGTTAATTTCATTTTGACTTTTAAAAGTATTTAATATTAGCTGCGCTCGCAACTTCGTTTGCGTGATTTTTTTTTATAATTTCCACCCCCACTTTCAACCCGTTACAATCCTTTTATCGCGTTAAAAACTAACCAAGAAAGGACATACATACTCAAGCTCTAACTATCTGTGTACCAAATTTCATTTAAATCGGATAAGTAGTTTTTGCGTAAAAGACGTATCGCATTAATGAAATTGGTACGGAGTGGATTATTTTGGTCTCAGAAACCAACGATAAGAGTTTTGTAGCCCTTATTTTTGCCGATTATGCTTATTTTACGTGATTTTATGATATAAATATCACTTTAAAACTAATGACAAATTGCTGCCTTTGATCTTGATTATAAAATATTGTTACACAAATATGAACCTTAAAATAATGCCGTTAAATGTCATTTATTTTTATTATGATACATTATTTCTTTTCCTGGAAACAAGGGAATGTTTCTTGCAATAAATTTAATATAATTATCACAAAAAGAAATTAATTTTGTTGTTAAGTCTTAGTTATAAATCAAAATTTATTTTCGATAAGGAATTTGATTTAAACATGTGTTAAATTTAGAATTATTTAAATTACTATTACAAATAAAATTGTTTGCTAAAGGAATAATTTTTACTCAATACAATTATCTACTCTCTACTACAATTATAAACTAAATAACTTCATCTTATAACCTTTCAAAATATGTTCTTCACCATATTTCTTCATCGTTTTCGAATCTCCATCAACTTGTTCTCGTGTTTAAATATATTTCATAATAAACATGTGATGTTATTTATATCTGGGAGTCGTACTGCATACCTACACACGAAAGGCGGGCCCGACAGTCACTGAGTTGTCACCGCTTTGCTATGTACCACATTGTTTTATTTATATATAATGTTTGTTGTTAATTAAATTTTAAACTATTTTGTTATGTGATCAAAGAGTTTGCAAACCGTATTCTTCCTTTCTAGGAGTTAATATTGTAGTTAATTCAAAGATTATTACCGATATACGAGCCACTTCTAAAAGTCGATTGTCCTTTTTTCACTGGCGCGGACGCGAGTACCACCCACGGCCAACGTCGTTCGGGTGTCTGCATAGTGGAAACAGGCACTTAATTTTATGAATCGTTTTGAGAAAATAAACGAATTCCGTACTTCAAAATCTCTTAACATTGTTCTTTTGATTCGATTTTGGATGTTGATTTTACTGCTAAATGTGATTTTGACGGTTTGCGAGACGCGACACAGATTTATGTCTGGGGTTATATTGATTTAGGGTGACAAGGAAACGTAATTTTTTATCGGGAATTACTCAAGGACTTAGGACGGACATTTCGGACAGCGATAGGTTGATGTTGTTTTGAATAGAGTGACCATAATGATAAGGGAGAACAAGGACTACTTTATTTAAAGACAAATTTAAATAAAATGTTTGTGGAAAGGCTTCAACATTTTTTTTAAACTTGTTATTTTGACATCACCGTACCTATCTGTAAGATCTTTTATTATCAAAATAATTTATTTTATCTATATTTTGTTGTCACATTAGTAAGTAAAACGCAAAGCATTCCACACCTAATCCACAAGTTTACGATTGTGGGGCGTCGTATCGGAACATTTCTGACATTTCTCCTAGTAAGATTAACCGACATAATCTTGCGGCTGGCAGAGAACCGTCAGATCTTTATTTGTATGGCCATAAATATTAAATTCGCTTGTAATTTATTTTGTCAACTATATATAAGAGTTAAATAGGAATTGTGTCAAAAGATCATTCCTATTTCAGACGTATTGTTTTCGATGTATTTCAGTGGAATGGCGGCGGATATTTGAATGTATTTTTGGGTGCAAACTATTGGAGGGCGGTTAGATATATTTCGTTGTCTTCGTAAACGTGAAATATTTCTTTTGTCTACTCTGTAATTATATTCCTGATTGAATTTACTATTTTTAGAAAGCGGTTAGATGATTCAAATCATCAAAATTACCCTATATTTAGAATATTAACATGTTCGAATTTTATTTATTTGCCATTTGAATTTATCTTGGCCAAATTTAATTTATGTAAAAAATATTTGCAATTAGCTGCCGCCCGCGACTCCGTCTGCGCGGGATTAAAAATAGATGTTGGCCGATTCTCAGACCTACTCAATATGCTCACAAAATTTCATAAGAATCGGTCAAGCCGTTTCGGAGGAGTATGGGAACGAAAATTGTAACACGAGCATTATTAAGATAATAAAATTAAGATCTATACACCATTAAAATAATCAAAAACGAAATCGTTGAATAGATAAATAACTTACTTTGTAGTAATCAGATCTCAGAACAGAAATTGATGATTCACATTGATAAAGTTACTTATAAAACAATTAAGATATTATTAAGATCACAAATTCACTTTGGAATGATAAAATATGCACTATATAAACGAAACAGGTCACCGCTTTTAATATAATATTCATTACGTGCATCCTTTCTGCAATCTCCTTATTATTATAATATAAATGCGAATGTTTAGATGGATGTTTGTTTGAAGTTATCTCCAGAGCTGTGAATGGATCTTGCTAAAATTTTACATAAGTGTATTATTTGGCATAGGTATTTTGTTAATTCCTCGCAGACGGAGTCGCAGGCGACAGCTAGTGTTAATATAAAATAAATTATGTATGAAAAAGGTGTGTCGGGATCGCTTCGATTGCGAGGTTGGTCTGTGTCTACCCCTCTGGATTTCAGGCGTGAGTAATGTTGTTGTTGTTGAATGAATTTCCTTTTTATTTATTTATAAATAATTTATTTTTAAATTAGAGTCAAACGATTCACACAAAATGTAAAATACAAATAAATAAAGCACTTAAGTCGCAACTTTTATCTATAGGTAGCAAAAGGCCACAAAACATGACAGAATTTTTATTAATCAAACCTCGTATTGTGTTTTATTTAAATACATTCAAAAAATTTCTTCCTCTTTAAATAACCCCGGTTAAAGGCGCGGAAGAGCAGCAAAGAATAATTTAAGTTACAAGGATTAATAAAACTCTGTTTTCATTAAAATACAAATAACGAAAGTCAAGTAGTGCTAGTGCAAATAGGTCTTTACATTTTGTGAAACATACAAAGCCACAATATTATATTCAATGAGGACATTAATAATGAAATATGAATTGTCATATTGTTTCACACGAGGGCAGAAAAATGAGACTAGACAGTACCGTTGCAGTACTGCATTGCTTGAACGCACACACAGACCGACAAGGATATCTGGCCCAGTGGGTATAAGTCAAACATTATGATAGCTCGCTAGCCCACCTTTCAATGTTACAAAGTGTCATAAAGTCCTTATCATCGTGTAGCTGTCATGTCATGTTTTACATATCTTGCCTCTTTCATAAATAAAATAAACTAAATATACCAAATTACCTTGTTAGACTATATAATCAAAACGGTACTTTTCTCTCTCAGCTTTGTTCTTTGAAGAAATTCATATCAGTATTGCACTGTCCTGCTGTAGTTTTCTGCCCTCGTGTGAAACTAATGGTGATTAGCGGCGCCGGCTACTGCTAGTGGACAGGATCTGTGTCGGCGCCGACTATTTTATTATATAATTAATTAAAATATTATGGAAATTTTAACAAACTATAAACTATCATATAAGTGTGTTATGGCGAATCATAGGTTCGGTTCTCACTCATAATGTTACTATTGGCTTTCTTTTAAATTCCAATTTAATGAATAATTGAAGTCTGTCCAACCATCACGCATACGACTTAGTGGGGTAGGCTGAGTCCACGGAAATTTGGTAAGTTCCTGAAACACCTCTATCGCCTCTGTTATTTATTTACTTATACTTAATGACCATAAAACACCTGGAAAGAATAAGAATAGTATAAAACAAGTTAATCCTAATTTTCATAATGCATAGTCTTAAGTAAAAGCTTATTCAAACGTTCACATCGACTTTCTAGTTAAAAGCGATCATCATCAATTATTAAGCCCTACAAAGTAATGCAATAAAGCAGACTACCTAAATGGGCATAAGGTATCGCCTTACACGACTTTACATTCATCTCTATCAAGACAAACTGTAAGAGAAATCAGATTAAGAAAACCTATTTTATTTACTTAAAGATTAACTGATAAATACATATTCTATACATATTAATAAAATTAGATTTGTCTGTATGTAATAACCAAATAATGGTAATTCGTATACATTATGCATTGCTGATAATGAAAAACAAATAAAATTGTTGTCTTCCCGTTTGTCTGTCCGCAAATTCGCATTTGTTCCGTGTATCTCGGAAACGGTTGGGTCGATTTCGACAACATGTTTTGGAAATTTGTTTCTGTAGTGAAAACCTATGTTTATAAGAACAGTTAAAAATTATATGAACAATTTTTAAACATTGAATGAATATTAACTATTCGTATACTTCATTAAAAACATAACAAATAACCACTATTTTTTTAATACTATTATTATGGGTACATATCTACGTAATAATAAAGGTTTGCGTTATCAGATGACATTTGAAATTAATTAAAATGAGAGCATGCGGCTGGATACA